AGGATTGAGGAAGGAGCTGGGTGGGGGAACGGGGGAGAGTCTGGGTGGGGGATCAGGCCCCTGCCATCACCTTGGCCCCACTCCCAGGTGCTATACAATGTGGCGTCGGCACAGTGCCAGCTGGGGCTCTGGACAGAGGCGGCCGGCAGCCTAAGGGAGGCCATGTCCAAGTGGCCGGAGGGGTCCCTGAATGGCCTGGACTCAGCCCTGGACCAAGTGCAGGTGAGGAGTGCCAACCCGGTCATGGTTTTGGGCTGGTGCCTACCACAGCCCCTCAAGACCAATTTCACGAGATGAAGAAGCTTCTGGAGGGAGATGGCCCTAGTGCCCAGTTTCGGGTGCCAGGCGGGGGCTTCCTGTGGCCTGTGGGAAGGGGGTGGGGGGCCCAAGCGGCCCCTGCTGCTCCAAGGCACAGGGGCTCTGCAGCTGCAGGCCTGGTCGGTCACCCCATCTGCATCTGCTGGATGCCCACCCCCTCCAGAGACAGGGCTCACTGCCGCCACGGCAGGTTCCCAGGGGCGAGGTCTTCCGGCCCCACCGGCGGCATCTGGAGCACCTGGAGCCCGTGGATTTCCTGGGCAAGGCCAAGGTAAAGATGGGGGCGGCGTCCTGGGGCATTGCAGCCGGTGCTGAGCCCTCGAACTGTGTTCCCAGGGAAGGGGTGGGTGTGCAGTCCAGGCCACCGTAAAGACCAGGAGGGTAGAGAGTGGGCCCACAGCCATCCTCAAACTGGCGCCCAGGGCGGAGGGGCAGTGCACCAAATGGGGCTGTCAACTTGGAGGCAGAGCCCACTAGAGCCAGCTGCATAGGAGGGGCTCCAGCTCTCCCAACAAGGAACCTGCGGGTGCCAGCCCCCACTCAGCCTGGGCCATGGCCACAGCCACAGCCTTGCAGCCTCCCGGAGTCCCTGCGTCTCTCTGCGTCCCTTCGTGCCTTTGTGTCTCCCTGTGTCCCTGCCACAGATAGCGAGGTCCCAGAGGGGGTCCCTGTGTGCCTGCCACAGATAGCAAGGTCTTGCGGGGGCGGGGGCGGGGTCTGCAGTCCGACGGTCTGGGCCACGTTACGCCCATACTTGGGTCAGGGTCAGGCAGCACCCCTAAAGTCACAGGAATAGGGAGCTGCTCACCCCCAAAGGCTGGGAGTGAAACGTGGAGAAGAACTCCTGGTGGGCGAAGACTGGGTCACCCTTGGCTGGCCACGCCCCTGGGTGACCACGCCCCCATCGACTGACCACGCCCCTGACTGACCACGCCCCCTCGGTTACTGCATTGCTAGGGTGGTGGGTGGCCGACCCCTGTGTGGCCCAGTGCAGCTGCCCAGCGCGGGAGGCCTTAGAGGGGTGAAACCGGGCTCTGAGCTGTGTTAGTGCATCAACTTAGAGTCCGCATATCACAGTAGAGGGCTGTTTATAAGAAACAAAAATGTTTTTAAAGTTGTGCTAAAGGCCAGGCGCGGTGGCTCACGCCTGTAATCCTAGCACTTTGGGAGGCCGAGACGGGTGGATCACGAGGTCAGGAGATCGAGACCATCCTGGCTAACACGGTGAAACCCCG